TACATGGATATCAAAGTTGCATATCCTTATCTTATAAATTCTGATATATTCACATATCACCATACATGGATATCAAAGTTGCATATCCTTATCTTATAAATTCTTGATATATCACATATCACCATACATAGATATCAAAGTTACATACCCTTGTCTTATAAATCCTTGATATATCACATATCACCATACATGGATATCAAAGTTGCATATCCTTATCTTATAAATTCTTGATATATCACATATCACCATACATGGATATCAAAGTTGCATATCCTTATCTTATAAATTCTTGATATATCACATATCACCATACATAGATATCAAAGTTACATACCCTTGTCTTATAAATCCTTGATATATCACATATCACCATACATAGATATCAAAGTTGCATATCCTTATCTTATAAATCCTTGATATATCACATATCACCATACATGGATATCAAAGTTGCATATCCTTATCTTATAAATTCTTGATATATCACATATCACCATACATAGATATCAAAGTTACATACCCTTGTCTTATAAATCCTTGATATATCACATATCACCATACATGGATATCAAAGTTACATATCCTTATCTTATAAATACTTGATATATCACATATCACTGTATGTAGATCTCAAAGTTATGTCACCCTTGTCATATCAATCCTTACAATAAAACCTAATCCCAGACAAATTCAATATTTGCCTACTGTGTTATCACACCATACTGTTTTCTGCATGATAACTGTTTTTTTTAAATTATTTTTAAAAATATCACACATATACATACCTGAATTATTCTTGGTGTCTACTAATGCAATTCTAGCATATCCATTCTCACATCCAATTGCAGTTAGCCTCCTATTATTCATGATATGTTTCACATCAATCCATAGAACACTGGAAATAAAATTAATCGATTAGAAAGAACAGCTGAAATTACATAGTATAATCAATATACCTAGAAATGACAATACCCACTTACTTGCTAGGAAGATCTTGAAATTCAGGAAAAAAATTGTCTTCATGGACTTCTGAGAATTTTAATGACAGACATTTATCCTTTAAAAAAAAGACACAATAAGATGTCAAACAAGATGCTACTTTCACAGACAAGTGACAGCGCCCTCTAACATTTATATGAGTTAATCTGTTGTTTATTTGGGCAGCGAAATGAAGGCCCACTTCAATATGTGAAATGTGGATCTAGAGAATGTTCTTGAGAACAAGCACTGTATCATTTCTATTTCACCCCAAAGAACTTGGTTAGTCAGCAATGTCATTATCATGAAAGAACAAATATCAGTGTAAACAAAAATGAAAGGTCAAGTAAATATACTAATTAGCAACAACATGAAACATTATACAAAAAAAGAAAACAATTGTGTCAATGAAAAGAATCATCTGTTTTGAATTCAACATCAAAATTACATCACTTTACTCAAAGTTTTGATCCAG